GTGTCATAAGCATAAAGCCTGACTAATTTTCATAATAAACACACCCATAAAACTACTTAGGTCAAGAAACATTGCTTCCTCCTTCTAATCTATTCCTTCAAAGGTAGCCATTATTCTTACTTTCAAACTTAAGGTTAATTATGCCTGTTTCTGACTTTTTACAAATGGATTCATGACTTCTTTAGCATTATGCAATTATACTGTCTTGGCTTATTCATTCTATTTATTTATTTATTTATTTTTTTTTTGTGGAACCAGGGATTGAACTCAGGCCCTTGTGCTTGCCAGGGAAGCGCTTATTCCACTGAGCCATCTCCCCGGCCCCTCATTCTGATTATTGAATAATATTCCAAATATACCGTATCTACCTCTATAAACATTTATATTATTTCAAGTCTTAGTTATTATGAATACTAAGGATATTCCTGTACATGCCTCTTGGTCTATACATCCACACATTTCTATTGGTAGATCAAGCTTTGCCTGGTAATTTCAGGGATGTCTCTCCCATGCCTAGCACAGTAGCTGGCACATTAGAGGCATTACAAAAAGTACTTGATGTTATTTAACTACCTGATATTTAGATTTTTTAATTCTTTGACTTATACATGTATGTTTATAATGCATAATAATTAAATTGATTTCTGTCAAGCCATTATTCAAATTTAAAAATATATTACTAGCTGAGTGTGGTGGTGCACATCTATAATTCAAGCATTTGGGAGGCTGATAGAAGGATCACCCTGAGTCTGAGGCCAGCCTACATAGTGAGTTCAAGGCTAATCTGAACTACACGAGACCTTGTCTCAAATAACTACAAAAAGAAATACACTTTAATACCACAGAAACTTGCTGAGTATCTCTTTTGATTCCATCCCACTGACTCTTCATCATTCTTTCTTTTCTTAAAAAAATACTGAAACATACATATGTCCCTGAGATACTTGATAAAAATGGATTCACACAATGTATATTCTGTAACTTCCATTCTTCATTACTAGAATCAATATAGGTAGCTCTAGATCACTCTTCTTTCACTGTGTATGGTACTGTACTAGGGGACTACTCCACAAGGTATTTTTCTATTTTACCCAATGGAAAAGTCTTTGGAGTTTTTCACCATTTCAAACAGTGTTACTATTAATGTTACAAGTGTTTTTTGATACACACAGGCAAGAGAGAATTTCACCATATGTGAAATTGAGGGTTGAATGGTATAGGAATGTTTGAATTTATGAGATAATACCAGATTTTCGGAAGTTGCTATAACATCTACATTGCTACTGGCAATAGATAAGGGTTCTGCTGCTACATAGCCTTGACAACCCTTGTTATGGCTGGACTTAGGAGTTTTTGCAAATGGAAGAAATAAAAATGTTATTTTGCTGCTATTTTTAAATCTTGCTAATAAGGTAAGATCTTTTCATACAGCTAACTATTTAAATATTTTATACATCAGCATGATTTAGATGTTAGACAATGTTTTTCCCTTTTAAAAAAGGTTACCCTGTCAGGTCTGAAACAGAAAAGTTGTTTTTACCTCTAACCAACTTAAACAAAATATACCATCAATTTATAAGGATTGCAACTGCTATCTTTAACAGCTAAAATAAAATAACATCATTTCTTCACTTCATCGGTCTGGAGTTAGGAAATTGTAGAGAAATTAACTTTGTAGATAGAAAGTAGGTACATAGAAGAAACTTAACAATTTAAACTGACATACATACTGTTGAAATTCTAGTTTGAAAGGCTGATCTGGAAGATACAAAGCGAAAGTCCAATTTTTAGACAGATAAACATATTTAGCACTGTATTATTTGGACTTTTCTTCCAGAAATTGTTAAAAAATTTCAAAATTGAACCTATAGAAATCAAGTGAAAAGTACAGGTGCTGTAGTACACACCTGTATTCCCAGCTACTTGGGAGGCTGAGGCAGGAAAGTTACTCGAGTTCAGGTGCTTGAAAATATTGTGGGTAACATAGATTGACCTGATCTCAAAATAAACCAAAAACAAAGCAAAACAAAACAAAGCAAAACCACTACAAACCAACAAACAAGAAAAACAACACAAAATCCCAATGTGAAATAAATACAGTAATAAATAATTTCTTTTAAAAACCTTAGGAAGTGGGTTCTTAGCATATTTTAAAAGTGGAAATACTGTAACACAGTACAGCCAGCAAGAAAGCTTTTATCACTTATTCTACAAGTATACACTAACTATACCTAAAGTGCTTCATCCTACTGCTAATAAAAAATCCTGGAAATAGAAAAACACCTTAATTTAAACTGGATCCACAACATTCAAACTCTAATTCAGAGGGCAGTTTAAGTGTTGGAAAACCAGATCTGGCTTCATAGCATAAACCTAATTAGCATAAACCTAATCCTTCCACTAGGTCTGGGGAAAATGCATGCTCTAGGCAAATGCACATGAAATGAGTATACTTCTGCCTTAGTTTTCTCTGCCTGACCCCAGTCTATTATACTCAGATTTCAAGAGGCAGAGGGCACTACCAGTATGTAACCTAGACAGTAAAGTTTTCTATGGTGTATATCTTTGTAAACTGGTAATAGAAAGCAATTCTCTGTGTCCCACTTTAAACTGCCCAAGAGGAATCAAGATATATCAGTTTTTATAAGAGAATGACCTTAAGTGAAATTTTAATTATATATAAAATCAAAGCTTGCTCTGGGGGTCCTATGAAAAACAATGGAAAAATAAAGGCTGAAAATCATCTTAAACCCAGGTATTTTTCCCTTTAAGTGACAATGACTTAAAATATCATATGAGATCCTCTCTAGAATTTGAAGGGGCCCTTTAGTATCTGGACTTTTAATACATGGAAACTGCTCACACAACTTGAATCATGTGACTTCTAGGGAACACTGACATATATGCCAAAGTCAGCTTCTCCTTAAATTTCACTGCAAGAACTGGTTGATAAAATATCACATTTGCATGCTATAATTAATGTTATTGAAACATCAAATTGTAAAAAAAAATATAGGTATTTGAATAAAATTGTATTTTAGAGTTAATACCAGTGATACACTGGCCCTCAGTTATTGTGAGTGGATTAGTGTCCCCCACACAAATGATAACAAAATTGAAGGAGGCTAAAAAATTTTCATGTAAAATGACATAGTATTTGCATGGAACTTATGTATATCCTCCTATATACTTAAATCATCTCTACTTTTAATACCTAATGTAAAAGTTATGTAAGTAATTGTTATGTATTGTTTAGTGCATAATGAGAAAAAAGTCTATATATTGAGTACATGCAACTTTTTCTTTTCTTTTTCTGTATTTTAGGGAAGGGCCTACAGGGCTTCAGGGTCTCACTACTAGATCAGACTTGTAGTGAGTCTCCCGTTTACAGTCTCCCAAGTGTTGGGATTATAGGCGCGTGTCACCACGCACAGTCTCTGCAATTTTTTCAATGAATAGGGAGGACTGACTATACTGATACTTTAAGGAGGGACAGTTGTTTGAATACTTACTGACATATCTTCAATCCTCAATACAAATACCAGTCTGACAAAAGCTAAGTATACTGTTATTATTTAAAGATGTAAGCAAAGTACAGAGCCACAAGGAGTACAAGTGGACACTATAAAAATAACAACACGGACTGGCATAAATTTAATTCTTCTCTTTAATGAGAACAAAGAAGCAAAGAAATTCTTGGGATCTAAATATTACAGAGTAGTTACCAAAAAGGGGATTAATGAAGTCCTGAAAGCTTTCACCAAATATTAAATTTCATCTTGGCAACAAATAAATTTGCCTCTCCCATGGTAGAACCTTAGGCTGTCCCCTAAGTGAAGGAAACTAGCACTACAGTCCATCTGCTGAATAGTATAGGTTTATGCCCTCTCTATAGAAGTTAACCTATGAGCTGAAGAGAAAAATCTTAATTCCTTGCTGTTCAATGTTTTTTTAAATTAAGCTTTAAAAATCCTGCATAAAAATGTAGAAACATTCAACTTTATTTATATCTTCTTTGATGACGAAGCATTTGGGTATGACATTGGATAAGGGGAGCCTGAGGCAGGAACAGGTTTTCTATATCAGAGGAGAGCAGGACAGACCCACGGGGGTCCTCTCTCACCTGGGACACTGTGATGCTGCATTTCTTGGCCAGCTCCTCTTTGGCTTCTTCACTGGGGTAGGGGTTGCTGAGGTGTGAGTAAAAATATTCATTCAAGATTTCTGTGGCCTGTTTACTGAAGTTACGTCTTTTCCGTCTATGACAAGAGTGGGAAAAAAGAACTGCAGTTACATTCAGTATTAACCAAAAAAAAAAAAAAAAAGGATAGATTATGAAAATAAAAAGTAGACTTCTATTTTTAAACATTCTTAGGGTCTACTTTATCACTGATATGTAGGTTATGCTTTGTGCATCCTCTAAAACATTAATTCAACTCATTTTAAGTTATGGGATCACTAAGAAAAATATTAGAATGTGAAGTATAATTAATTTTATTAATTTATTCAACAAATATTTACTGAGGACCTAACATGTTCTAAGTACACAATGAAGAGGGGTTCAGTGGCACAGTGCCTGCCTGGCAATCACAAAGTTCTGAGTTCAATTCCTGGTACCAAAACCAAGAAGCACACAATGAAGATCCACAGGGAGCAAAACAGACAAGGTCCAAATAGCTTACAGGAAACTGGAGGGTGAAGAGAGAATTAGAAAGATGGAAGAAGAAAGACATTAGGCAAGGTTCACAGAAATTAATAGTGGTGGCCACATCAAATATGAAGGAAAAGTAAGAGGTGGTGAGCGGAGAAATGTAACACAGGTTATGAACGTAAGTAAAACTACCATGAGGAGTGACACTTAACCTGAGATCTACAAAAATATAGAAGTTGACAAAGAGTACAGGAGAAAAGGACTGGTCAGAAGAAATGCCCCTGAAATGGCAAAGAACTTGGGAAGTCTCAAGAGGTAGAGGAGATAGAGCACAGAAAAAAGCAGGGAATGTGTGAGATGGGTCTGGAGAATGGGGAGAGTCAGGTTAATCTATGTGCAATAAATAGCTATCAATAATTGCTAAGTTTTCATATTTTCAAAGGATCATTCGGACTCCTGAGAATAACTGGAGGAAGACACAGAAGAAGATGCAGAGACCATTTAAGGACATAACTACACTGGTGAACTTGAAGATGACAGTAACTTGGCACTGGATGAGCATCATAGAAAAAAGACTCATGATATTTTTGAAAGGTAAAAGCAGGAAGACTTGATGATGGATTAAATGGGGCCACAGGGTGAGGAAGACAGTAAAAGAAGGAAAAATATACATATAGCAAGAAAAGTTCGAATTTTTCTGCTTAAGCAATCATGTGATGTCAGATATATTTTGTTCATAAAGAAAAAAGCTGAGAAAAAAATTTTTGATTTTGGCGGCAGGGAGCTAGTAGCATGTCTTAAAATCAAGTATTTACTGACAGCGTTGCAAGTAGCAAAAAAATACCATTTCTATTTGATTTTCATTATTAACATTTTAAAGAATTCCTCTGTGAAAATCAGAATCTGCCAAGTTTCACTTTGTTACATACTCTAATAACTGATTTTCTTAGTACTTTCTTCTAAAAAAAAAATCTTAAAATCTTCTCTACTGTGATATCTTTTGCTCAAAAAAGACAGCTAGAATGGCGTGTACTGTGTGAGACTCCTCTAACCTCATGATGTCACTAACATGCCAGGTTAAATATGTAATCATGTTTAAACATTCAGGGAGAATTAAAAGACCAAGAAATCTAAGTGTGATCAAAACATCTCAAGTTTCTATCCTGAAATTTCTTAATTTCAATAATTTTTGGAAAGAAAAACAATGTGCCCAGGGAGGTGAAGATGAGGCTTAAGATCTATTTGAGTATTAAAATCAGCAGGACCTGATGATGAATGAGGTGGAAGAGGTGAGTGATGGAGGAAGAGAGAAGAGGATAAGCAATACCCTCAGAACAACAATTGGAATTTTTACACAAGTTCTATGGGGCTTAAAAAGAAAGACAAAGATCTGTGGCACGTGGGAGCACACAGAAGAGGCAAACTGTCATGGAGGTAGTGGGCAAGCAGGGTAGGACAGGTCTAGAATAGATGCCCAGTGGGTCAAATCTTCAGGCATTTCCAGCAGGAATAGTAGGTTAAGTCTACACAGTAATAACTAGCTCATAAAAATCTAGGTTTCTGCTTCTTATGAAAAACTGGAAGATCAGCCACCCCAGGTCCACAGTGGCAGAAGACAGCTGTGGACGCTAAAGTCTGAGTGATGGCTGTCCCTTTTAGATCGGCACTTGTGCACTCTAACCCTTACCGGATTCTACTCTGGTCACTTACGTTACATTTAAGTGTCTGAGTTTGTGACTTCATACCATAATCTAGAAACAATCAACAAGGCCAGCACAGATAGGGGACAGATGACACAAGGGTACTATTTGGGAAATACAGACATGTGAAAGTGGAAATGAGAAGAAATTTATCTTAAAAAGTAAAGAGGTGTGATTCACATATATTTTGTAACTTTCAGCAAACATCAAAAAACCCCAGAAAACAAATTTATGGGCAGAACAGAAGACAACAGCAGATATTCCGGCTGAGTCCAAATTAAAGCACTTCTATTGGAAGAAAGAAGGATCTGCAAAAACTTATTCTTGAATGTTTTGCTCTGGTACATGCTTTGGTTTGTCCAATTATCAAGAAAATATGAGCATGGCCTTCCAGAAAAGCAAAGTGAGCAAAGGAGTCACATTACCAGAAAAGCATGTTTGCCTACAGCAGAACAACCTTGTCTTCTCACTGCAGACGGCTTGCTAAGAAGCACTACAAAAATACGTGGAACTGCAGCTCAACTATTTGCATTCACTTGAAGTTATAGGAGAGAATACAGCCTTATAATTTATTTATTTTTTAGAAAAACATCCTGTCGGAAATGCCCATTAAGAGTCTCCCATCAGTTTCACTCCCCCCAGGGTTCACCACACTCTAAATGGCTGTGCCTCAGGCCAGTGTGCAGGGCGCATCAGTCTCAGGGCCAGGTCCCATCAGCATCATGATGTTGTAACAGCAGTCTCTGTGGGAGAAGGGACTGTGCTCCAAGCTCTGCTATGCTCTCATTCTGGCTCTGTTCACTCTAGGCCCTTAACACACTTCTTCTTCACAGGAAAAAAATAAATCATTTAGATAGCTACATTATGAATGCAGTTATGTAAAAAATAAGCATTGTGGTGACAAGAGTAGGAAAGTATCAGCAGAAATAAGGACAGCAATTGTGTTAGGAAGGATTCCTTCCTTCAGATGTATTTTAACATCTTTGTTATATAATGCTTTTTACTAAAATGCTCAAATTTGACAATTTAAAAGTGTTTTTGTTCATTTTCTGACCCTATTTTCTTAACTCTGATTTTAGCTATTAAACTATTAAGTGGAAATACACATTTATCTGGTCAGGAATTCTCTTTTTGTAGTTGTTATATACAAGATATACTCGAGAATGCAAATATGTCTTGGCTTTCAGATTATGTGAGGAAGGTATTTTCCAGTTACTGAAGTAACTATAGGGGAAAAATGAAATGTTTATGGAAAACTGCAAGGAAAGAAAGGAAAAAAGATTCCAATTCTGATATAATAATTCCATTGCAGAGAATCAATCCTTAGGAGATACTTCTAAAGGTCCAAAGAATCAATGTATAAAGATTTTCATTCTAAGACTAGTTTCAATAAAAATCTACCTAAAATGGTGCCTTCTGCCCATCATGTTCTTTCTGTTTACCTTTGTTTTTCTTCACAGAACTCATCACTTTATTACATTTCACTACACTGTTTAATAGAACATGTGTTTACTTGATTCTTGTGTATTTCCTCAAATAGGAAGTATAAGCTTGGGGCTGGGAAGATAGCTCGGTGATATAAGTGGCTGCTTGGCAAGTGCAAGGACCCAGATTTGATCCCTGGCACATGTGGCACACACCTGTAATCCCAGCGCTGCGGAGGCTGAGACAGGAGGATATGAGTCTGAGCTGTGTAGTGAGACCCTGTACCAAATAAATAAACAAATCATTTAAAAAAAAAAAAAAGAAAGTGTAAACTCAATGGGGGCAAGTATATTAACCTGCCTTGTTTATCACTACGTCCTCAGCAAGATTAAGTATCTGTGGAAGGAAGGCAGAAAGAAGGATGCAAGGTAGCAATCACAATGACAATTAACAAATAAATGCTAAAAACTAAACTGATGCTAAGTGATATATCTGGCAAATTTTACCTATTAAAATGTTACTCAAAATTATAGTGTATACTAAAGAATATTTATGTATTCATGACAAATTTTTAAAAAGCAGACTAAATCATGCATGAAAAAAATTCTATATTGGGTCAGCAAGAAAGCTCAGTGGTCTAAAGTACCTGCTCAGGCAAGCTTAGGCAAGCACAGGGGCTGCAGATCCCCAGCACTACACGCTGCACCAACCCCGCCCCCAGAGCGGGCTGAGCCGGACACACACACACCCAAAAAAATTTATTTATTTATTTATTTATTTACTTATTTATTTTTGGTACCAGGGATCAAACTAGGAACCTTAAGCTTGCCAGGCAGGTTCTTATGCTGCTGACCTATCTCCCTGGCCCACAGAACAACCCCAAAATTTAAAGCCTATAGAACAAAAATCTAGAAGGAAATATACGAAAATGTAAAAGGAGGGATACAAGGAAAGCCAACATTTTGGCCCTAGCCTTCTAAGGTCAATTAAGACTCAGGACATATGAGAACTTGTACTGTAACGTCATGTACC